GTGCGTTGAGGTATATGTGGAGTCAAAAAACGTTATCTATGGAGGCAAAGAAGGGAATGTATGAAATTATAGTAGTACCAACACTCTTATATGGGTGTGAAGCTTGGGTTGTGAATGCAGCAGTGAGGAGACAGTTGGAGGCAGTGGAGATGTCCTGTCTAAGGGCAATGTGTGGTGTAAATATTATGCAGAAAATTCGGAGTGTGGAAATTAGGAGAAGGTGTGGAGTTAATAAAAGTATTAGTCAGAGGGCTGAAGAGGGATTGTTGAGGTGGTTTGGTCATTTAGAGAGAATGGATCAAAGTAGAATGACATGGAGAGCATTTAAATTGGTAGGAGAAGGAAGACGGGTTAGGGGTCATCCTCGAAAAGGTTGGAAGGAAGGGGTAAGGGAGGTTTTGTGGGCGAGGGGCTTAGACTTCCAGCAGGCGTGCACGAGCGTGTTCGATAGGAGTGAATGGAGACGAATGGTATTTGGGACCTGACGATCTGTTGGAGTGTGAGCAGGATAATATTTAGTGAAGGGATTCAGGGAAACTGGTTATTTTTATACAGTGGACCCCCGGTATTCGATGGCATTGGTATTCGATAAATCCGGTTTTCGATGCATTTTAACGCAAAAATTTTTCCTCGGTATTCGATTGAAAACCCGGTATTCGATACGATTCGTACGAGACCTGTCCACATGTGGCCTGAACTGCCCCGTGTGTGCTAGTGTTTACAAGCCAGCCAGTGTGCGCGCATCTAAGGATACATTAGGTACATTCCATATTATCCATATTATCACTGTGTTTGGTGCTTGTTTCTGCAAAATAAGGCACCATGGGCCCCAAGAAAGCTTCTAGTGCCAACCCTTCAAGAAAAAAGTCGCTAATGACTTATGAAATGAAGAAAGAGATAATTGCAAAGTACGAAAGTGGAGTGCGTGTGTCGGAGCTGGTCAGGTTGTATAATAAACCCCAATCAACCATCTCTACTATAGTGACCAGGAAAACGGCAATCAAGGAAGCTGTTCTTGCAAAAGGTGCAACTGTGATTACGAAACAGCGACCGCAAGTGTTAGAAAATGTTGAGAGATTGTTATTCGTGTGGATAAATGAAAAACAGATAGCAGGAGATAGTATCTCTCAAGCGATCATTTGTGAAAAGGCTAAGCAGTTGCATGACGATTTGGTAAAGAAATTCCCTGCAACTAGTGGTGATGTGAGTGGATTTAAGGCCAGCAAAGGTTGGTTTGAAAGATTTAAGAATCGTAGTGGCATACATAGTGTGATTAGGCATGGTGAGGCTGCAAGTTATGTTGTGCGACAGAAGTCCAGTGACTCTCAAGCTGGTCCAAGTGGCATTAAAAGAAGAAGGGAAGTAACCCCGGAAAAGGACTTGCTACCTCAAGTCCTAATGGAAGGGGATTCCCCTTCTAAACACTAACACCTCTCCCCTCCTCCCATCCCATCAATCATCACCAGATCTTCATTAACCCTTTGAGGGTCGACAGGCCCTCTCCGAAACTCGTTCTCAGGGTCGGCCAAATTTAAAAAAAGAAAAAAATTATTTTCTCTTATGAAAAGATAGAGAATCTTTTCCCGATCATAAAGACACCAAAAGTTTGAAATTTGATAGAAAACTTACGGAATTATCCTCTCGCAAAGTTAGCGGTCTCGGCGATGTTTACGCATCGGCGATTTTGCCCACTTTGAGCCCCATTTTCGGCCAATTTCACTGTACTAGTCGACAAAAAACATGAATATTTCGCTAGAACTCCATTTTTTCTATCGAATGGGTGCAAGAAACCACTCATTTATGAAATTCAACTATCCAGTACAGTGGTCAGAATTTAGCAATTTTGCCAATTTCACACAAATTTCAAAAGATGCCAATTTCCGAATAGGGTCCAGAATAAACAAGAAAGACATTCCTGGCACTAAAATGACATTTCCTCTGGTCATTAGTCATGTCTCAAGGCCCCTCTTATATTCTTTTGCTTTCCACTTTGAATTTTTATTTTCACAAAAAATATAAGATTTACTGTTATGCATACTACTGCATTAGTGTAAAAAATGGTATAAATATTATTGGTGCACTTGTGAAAGAATATTAGACTCACCAGTTGATGTGTATTGCACGCTTGGCACGATTTGTTTACTTTTGAAGTTTGGTAAAAATCGAACATTTCTGCTACTTTGAGCTCAATTTCAAGACACCTTTCTTTGTAAAACCAGTCAAAATCATCTCAATTTCTGAAATATGTCTTCCATTCTATAAAATGAGACCAAGAAAACTAGACTACAACAATAAATACCATACGAAAATACACTGCAAAGTCGCTGATTTATTAAAAAAAAATGGTCAAAGTTTTTTTTTTCTCATTATGCACTGTGTGCTGCAGGATTTTTTTTAGACTGTGCACACTGACCACATAGACCCATTCTTTCATATGAAGGCCTACCAGCTTTCTCCCACTAGATTTGAGGCCGCTAAAATTTATGAGTACTAGTACGTCAAAAACCCCTACGCGTAAGACGTACTAGTACGACGAAAACCCTCAAAGGGTTAAAGGTAAGTGTCAATTATTTTATTGTTATTGTAATTATTCTATTGCATTAAACTTAATACTTCATGTAGTAAAATTTTTTTTTTTTCATACTTTTGGGTGTCTTGCACGGATTAATTTGATTTCCATTACGTATTTCTTATGAGAAAAATTGATTCGTTTTTCGATATTATCAGTATTCGATGAGCTCTCAGGAACGGATTAACATCAAATACCGGGGGTCCACTGTATAGACGGACTTGAGTCCTGGAAATGGGAAGTACAATGCCTGCACTCTAAAGGAGGGGTTTCAGGATATTAGCAGTTTGGAGGGATATGTTGTGTATCTTTATGCGTATATGCTTCTATACTGTTGTGTTCTGAGCACCTCTGCAAAAACAGTGATTATGTGTGAGTGAGGTGAAAGTGTTGAATGATGATGAAAGTATTTTCTTTTTGGGGATTTTCTTTGTTTTTTGGGTCACCCTGCCTCGGTGGGAGACGGCCGACTTGTTGGAAAAAAAAAATATAACCTATTGTATAATTAGTGCAACCTGATCCAACTATGTTTTGTACGTCTAGTGTTAAGTAATCAGTTAAGCTTAGACTGCCCATAATGCCAAGGCATGATAGTGGCTCTCTTTGCACTACAATTCACTGTAAACCCTCACTGTAAACTACCTATGTATATATACTTCCTACAATATGTCAACCACATTGTAAACTTGCAAGGAAATAAAAAATCTCAATCTAAATCTAAGTAAATTTACTCCCATAATTCCATTTACCTCAAAAAAATTAAATATTCACATTATAATTAGTAAAGATGCCCACAATAATCAATAATTTAGTTTATATTCATGAATTTATCTTCTTAATAGAGAGAAAGTGTAATGGAAAGGAGGGATGTAGAAGTATCATATCTTGTGTCATTATATGCCTAGTGTAACACATTAACTTACTGAATCTTCACCATCTACGTTGTAAAGTAAAAGGACACAAGTGCAACTAATGTGACATTTTATTGTGGCAAAGTTTTGCTCTCCAGGAGCTTTGTCAAGCTCCTGGAGAGCGAAACGTTGCCACAATAAAATGTCACATTAGTTGCACGTGTGTCCTTTTACTTTACATATTGTCGGTAATTCTACCAACATTATTACCATCTATGTTCAATCACTTCACAACAATGAAGGTCACTGAATCAGTTTGAAATAACAATATTTTTGTTATTAACTGTTTGTTCATTAGCTACCTTTGTTATTGTACTTGTGAGTGTAGTAACTGCATAAAAAGTCTTAACAGGCTTAAGTAACTTTTAAGCATTAGGATTAGTTTGTCTGAAATGCATTGCATAATTAGTGGCTTTATTTTGAGCCTACCATTGTTTTATGACATGTAAATTACATTCTTTGTACTGCATAAAGAAATAATAATTGTATTGTAATGTATTATAATAGACAGTTGTGGCAGTGTAAGGTCACCCTTTCTAAGTGGGAGACAGCCACTATAATAATACAGTGGACCCCCGGTTCGCGATGCTATCGGCATCCGATAAATCCGGTAACCGATGCATTATATCGCAGAAAATTTGCCTCGGTTCCCGTTACAAAACCCGGTATGCGATACGATTCGTACGAGACATGTCCAGTGTTTACAAGCCAGCCAGTGTGTGCGCATCTAAGGATACATTCGGTACATTCTATATTATCCATATTATCACTGTTTTTGGTGCTTGTTTCTGCAAAATAAGTCACCATGGGCCCCAAGAAAGCTTTTAGTGCCAACCCATCAAGACCAAGGGTGCTAATGACTATTGAAATTAAGGAAATGTGTGCAAAGTGGCTTGAAGTGCAAACCTTTTTTGATGAAAATCACCCTAACACAGCTATTGCAAGCTGAGCTGGTGACTATTACAATGACAATGTTGTGGCCCATTTTAGACAAACCATAAAGGAACGGGAGGTACAGAGCTCTATGGACAGATTTGTTGTGCGACATAGGTCCAGTGACTCTCAAGCTGGTCCTAGTGGCATTAAAAGAAGAAGGGAAGTAACCCCGGAAAAGGACTTGCTACCTCAAGTCCTAATGGAGGGGGATTCCCCTTCTAAGCATTAAAACTTTGACACTCTCCCCTCCTCTCATCCCATCAATCGTCACCAGATCTTCATTAAAGGTAAGTGTCAATTATTCTATTGTGTTAATTCTATTGTTATTATTGTTATTGTAATTATTCCATTGCATTAAACTTAATATTTCATGTGGTAACAGTTTTTTTTTTTCATACTTTTGGGTGTCTTGCACGGATTAATTTGATTTCCATTATTTCTTATGGAGAAAATTGATTCGCTTTCCGATAATTTTGGTTTACGATGAGCTCTCAGGAACGGATTAATATCGTGAACCAGGGGTCCACTGTAATAATAATAATAATAATAATAATAATAATAATAATAATAAATAAGATGTAACAAGTGTTTCACTATACTTACATGTGTCCACACACAAGTGGTTTCTTACATGGTTGAGAGCACGAGACATGAACGCGTCCTTGAAAGCAGCGGCCACAATTACCCACACAAGTGTGTCCACATTTCAGCACCTGACTGCAAGGTTCCTCACAGTATTCCCAAGCATCTTCTCCATTCACTGAAAAAATGAAAGAATGCAGTAGTGTTAAATTTTCTTCATATTTTTACTTTTCAATAAATTTGCTTGAAATCTGCATCATATATCTTTGGGACCATCACTAATATGTACAAACATCTTCATAACTCTAAATTGATCAGGACAAAAAATAAATTATGCCTCTTAGAAATTTTTTTATATAAAATATACTGAATATTTTTCTTAATACAGTGGTCCCTCGATTATCGACGGTAATCCGTTCCTGGAAGCCGGTCGATTATCGAAATGGTCGATTTACGAATCAATTTTCCCCATAAGAAATAATGTAAATTCAATTAATCCGTTCCTGACACCCAGAAGTATTAAAACAAAAAAATTTTTTACATGAAATATTCATGTAGTACATAAACAATACAATGGGAAATGATGAATGAAACATTAACAGCATAACACTTACCTTTATTGGAGATTCTTCTTAGTGTATGGGAGACTGGAGGAGGAGGAGAGAGTGGATTGTTTATAGTTTGGAAGGGGAATCCCCTTCCAGCAACACCTCAGGTACCATTTGCTTTTCTGGGGTTGCTTCTTTTCTCTGTTTCTTAATGCCACTAGGACCAGCTTGAGAGTCACTGGAGTCCTGTCTCGCAAAATAACTGTGCAGAGAGCTCTGTTTCTGGCGTCTCTTTAAAACTTCCCTAAAATGGGCCAAGACTCTGTCACTGTACAAGTTGCCGATATGGCTTGCAACATCCTTCTCTGGGTGATGTTTCTCCATAAATCTTTCCATCTTACCCCACATAGTAAAAATCTCCTTAATTTCTGAAGAAGGCACCTTCTTCCATCTCTCTTCCTCCTCCTCTGCAGCAAGATTCTGAGCTGCGATCTGTTGCTCTTCCTGCTGAAGCTCTTGCAGCTCCTCAGTGGTTAGCTCTTCGTTGTGGTCCTCCACCACCTCTTCCATATCCTCCAAACTCACATCCAACCCCATGGAACTCCCCAGTGCCACAATGAGTTCAAAAACTGACATAGGCATCATCAGGGTCAGCCCCAAACCCCTTCCAAATCCCCTCTTGTCGACACAATCTGGCCACAATTTTCCTCCAAGCAAGTTCAAAGTCCTGGTAGACACTCCCTCCCAAGCCTTACCTTATAAGTGCTTACAAATGGAAAATAACGAAATTGTTTCTTTCAGAATCTCGTAGGGTCAGTGAGTGACTGAGGTCCATTGAAGCACCTTTCAAACATTGGCTTTCGGTGTACAAGTTTTTTAAAAGTTTGCAATGACCCTGCTGGTCCATGGGTTGAGGAGAGGATGGTATTCGGGGGCAAGAACTTTACTGAGAAGAACCCAACTCCTTCAGAATTAGGTCATCATCCAAGTTTTGTGGATGAGCAGGTGCATTGTCCATTACTAGGCAGGCACTTGAGATCCAATTTCTTCTCCATGAGGTAATTCTCACACTAGGTCCAAAACACTTTTCGTGAACCACTCTACAAAAAATTTCCCTCGTGACCCATGCCTTATTATTAAGATTTCCAAACACACACAATTTACTCTTCAATACATTATTTTTCTTAAATAGCTCTGGATTTCAGAAATGGTAACACTAGTAACGGCTTTCACTTGAAATCCCCACTAGCATAGCACAGAACATGACGTCAGCCGTCTTCATAGGCTGTGTGTCCTGCATGATTTTTCCTCTTGTGTATGAAGGTCCTCTTTGGCATTTTCTTCCAGAAGAGCCTGTTTTCGTCACAATTGAAACACTTGTTTCAGTTTCAGATCCTTCAGCCTCTATGTACTCCTGGAATCATGCAAAATATTTTTCAGTCCGCCCTTTGGTGGTTCCGAACTGCAGCCTCCACCAAGCCTTACCACACTGTGTATGCCAGTCGCTTCTTAAATCTCTCAACCAGCCTTTGCTGGCCTTAAACCACTCACTTCACCACTATTTGCAGCAATTTCTTTACCAAATCTTCATGCAACTGCCTACCTTTCCACAAATAATCGAGGTCATAAGACAGTCTCCTGCTAATTGTTTTTTCTCATTATCACCAGCCTATATTAACTTCTCAACCCTCTTCCAGTAACTGGTGATCTCAATTTTTGTCAGCATATTTCACCCCCTTTGCAACAACAGGCTCCTTGATTTCCTTTCTCATGGCTATGATGGAAGATCTGTTGAATGATTTTTTGTTATACATCCTCGCCAGTTCGCCCACACGTACGCCACTATCATATGCTACAATGATGTTTTCTAAATTCCAATGTATTTCTCATCCTTCTTTACGCAAAGAGGTTTGGCACTAAGCTTTCTTTGGAACCATGGTAGCTATTTAGCACTTATAATAACTTGCCAAGCACTAAAATAAATGACATATGAAATATTTCACTGGAGGCACGTGAGAGGACCGCCGCTAACTGGAAACAAATGGCAAACACTGGCTGGGAAGGAAAGCTGAAGGCGGGTCCCGAGGCCCCTTACCTCATGCATACTCGTCTGGGACACGAGGTCGAGACGGGTCGATAAACGAATTTCGGTCAATTTCCGAGTCAATATTTTGTCGAAAAAAACGGTTGATTTCCGAAATGGTCGACTTTCAGGCCGGTCCGATTATTGAGGGACCACCTGTACATAGTTTTGAAAGAGCCATTTCTAAATGAACACTAAAAAGAAAAATGAAATTAAAGAAAAACTTAACTTACAATTTTGGTGTGTTCAAGTTAGCAAGAAAATGATCACTCAGCCAGCATAACTCACTGCACTCTGTTTTTTTTTTTTTTTATTAACACATCAGCCGATTCCCACCAAGGCAGGGTGGCCCCAAAAAAGAAAAACTGTCATCATCATTCACTCCATCACTGTCTTCCCAACGGGGTATTTTACACTACAGTTTATTAAACAGCAACATTAACACCCCTCGGTCAGAGTGAAGACACTGTACTTCCCATCTCCAGGACTCAAGCCTGGCCTGCCAGTTTCCCTGAATCCCTTCATGATACTTTGCTCACACTCCAACAGCACGTCAGGTATTAAAAAGCATTTGTCTCCATTCACTCCTATCAAACACACTCATGCATACTTGCTGAAAGTCCAAACCCCTTGCACACGAAACCTCCTTTACCCCCTCCCTCCAACATTTCCTAGGCCGACCCCTACCCCGCTTTCCCTCCGTTACAGGGTTATACACTTTCGAAGTCATTCTGTTTTAATCCATTCTCTCTACATGTCTGAACCACCTGAACAACCCATCCTCAGCCCTCTGAACAACAGTTTTGGTAATCCCACACCTCCTCCTAATTTCCACTATGAATTCTCGCATTATATTCACACCACACAATGCCCTCAAGACATGACATCTCCACTGCCTCCAGCCTTCTCCTCGCTGCAACATTCATCACCCATGCTTCACACCCATATAAGAGCGTTGGTAAAACTATCCTCTCATACATTCCCCCTTTGCCTCCAAGGACAAAGTTCTTTGGCTCCACAGACTCCTAAGTGCACACACTCACCCTTTTCCCCTCATCATTCTATGATTCACCTCATCTTTCATAGACCCATTGTCGCGCTGACACGTCCACTCCAAATATCTGAATACATTCACCTCCACCATACTCTCTCCTCCTATCTATATCCAATCTTTCGTACCTAATCTTATTTGTTACCTCATAACCTTACCCTTTCCTACATACACTTTAATTTTTCTTCTTTTACATGACCCACCAAATTCATCCACCAACCTCTGCAACTTCTTCTTCAGAAAGTCTCCCCAAGAGCACAGTGTCATCACCAGCAAAAAGGAGCTGTGACAACTCCCACTTGTGTTTGACTTTATCTTTTCAACCCACCCCTCTTGCCAAGACCCTTGCATTCACTTCTCTTGCAACTCCATCTATAAATATATTAAACAACCACGGTGGAACATCACACATCCTTGTATATGGCCTACTTTTACTGGGAAAAATCTCCCCTTTCCACATACTCTGACTCGAGCCTCACTATCCTCGTAAAAACTCTCACTGCTTTTCAGGAACCTACCTCCTATACCATACACCTGCAACATCTGCCACATTGGCGTCCCTATCCACCCTGTCATACGCCTTTCCAAATCCATAAATGCCACAAAAACCTCTTAGCCTTATCTAAATATGTACTGTTCACCTATATGTTTCACTGTAGAACACTTGTCTACACACCCCCTGCCTTTCCTAAAGTCTCCTTGTTCGGAATATTCTGCAAACACCTACTTCTGTCTTTACTCTTAATTCTTTCAATAATAACTACAAAAACACTTTACCAGGTATACTCCAACAGACTTATCCCCCTTAATTTTTGCACTCTCTTTGTCCCCTTTGCCTTATACAAAGGAACTAGGCATTCCTCACTGCAATCCCTAGGTAACCTACCCTCTTCCATACATGTATAAAACCCTTTCCAGGGTTTCGGGCCGTACTAGTACGGCCATACGTGCTAGAGTTTTTGACTAAAAGCAGTACTAGTACGCATAAATTCTAGCGCCTTCAAATCCTCCGTGGGAAAAGGCTGTGGGCCTAGGTGTGAGAGAATGGGTGTGTGTGGTCAGTGTGAGCGGTAGAAAAAAAATCTGGGACCCAGTGGCGCATTGTGGGAACCCCATTTTAGTAGACCTTGTTCACAGTAAGAAGCTCCTCACTCCTCAGCGAATTGGGACACTTTTGTTCCCCAGTGACAGTTCTAATACAGATGGAAGTGCCAGTGAAGAAGATTCAAGTTTTGGTGAGGTTTTTGGGGGGGGGTTGACCGAAACTAATGACCAGAATATCAGTAATAGTGAGGAAAACCCAGACGACTCTCAGCCTTCCACCTCTGCTGCTGGGCCGTCTTGTTCACGTTCAGTTATACCAAAATCAAAGGGGAAACTCCAATTTTCCCAAATCCCGGACTCAGATGTGAGCATTGGAGATGATAGTGATAATGAATATGAACTACAAGCTCTTGAAACCAGTTCCAATAGTGATAGTGAAGTGGAATATTCCC